AGCAGGTATACCTCACCATCAGAAGTAATTGCAGCAGTGTTTTCCTTGGCCTCCTTCTCTTCATGAGTATCAGCCCTCTTCTTAACATATTTATCTTTGTTGTGCCAACAATCCCTTTGAAAATGACCTTGCTTTCCACAAGTGTAACAAGTCACTCTGCTCTTGGATTTTGATCTACCTCTGGACTTCCCCTTGTTGTACCTCTCTTGAGACTGTCTGTCATTGTCTCTTTGAGTGTACCTTTGCTTACTCCTCCCTCTATACTCAGTAACTAGTGCTTCAAACTCAGAACTCATAACTCCTTGCTCTTTTCTTCTGGATTCCTCACTCGATATGCTATCCTTGACCAACTGCAGAGTCATTTCCCCATCTCTTGTTGAGTTGCTTAGAGTTACCACCAAAGTCTCCCAACTATCCGGAAGAGAGCTCAACAAAATCAGTGCTTGTACCTCATCATCAATGGCCAGCTTCACTGTAACTAATTCATTCAAAATTTCTTGAAAATTATTCAAGTGCTCAGACACATTCTTGCCTTCCTTGTACTTGAGATTGACTAATTTTCTAATGAGGGAAGCTTTCTTCAAGGCATTCTTTCTTTCAAACAGCTCTTCAAGCTTAGTCCACAATTTATAGGACTCCTTCTCTTGAGCCACATGATGAATCACACTCATGTCAACCCATTTACGGACTACGGCACGAGCTTTGCGATCAATCTTTTTCCAATCAGCACCATTAATTTCTGTAGGTTTGATGCCTTTGTGCTCAATTGGATCATAGAGGTCCTTGCAATATAGCTTGTCCTCCATCAAGGTCTTCCACAAGGAGTAATTAGAGGTGTTCAACTTAATCATGGTTGAACCATCTTTTTCATTCGCCATGGTTGCTGGAATGAAAAAAAAATCACACAAATCTCACTTGGGAATTTTCACAAACACCTTGTGTGCACAGCCCGCTCTGATACCAGTTGTTGAGGTTTTAATGGTCCAATGCCCAGAATCAAACCAATCAACAACACAATCAAACACCCAAGAACATAATAAGCAAACAAAGTAAAATAAAGAGGACACTAGAATTTTTTACGTGGAAAACCCAAATGGGAAAAACCACGGGGCACTTACCCAGATGAAAAATCAATCCACTACTGAAAATGGATTATAATTTTTGGATCACAATCCGAATCTCTCAAATTTCTAACATCAACAAGGGAGATTTTCTCTCAACCTCACTCTATTTTTCTACACTGCTTTCCCACTTTGTTTTTGCGCTCTCACCAATCTGCACTCTTTTAAATTTTAAACAAGAGTTAAAATAGGGAGCTTTTGGATACAAGAGTAGTAAAACTATCCTACCAAGGACTAACATGTCAACATATCCAAAGTTGGAGGAGTCCACTTTGCTTTTCCCATTTTCTTCAAGAATTGGAAATGTCCGTGTCGGGATCCAC